CAGAACAACTTTGATCAGGAAGTACCAGAAGGATCGAACATGGACAGTTGTGGAGTTGTCCAGAAAGTTCAAGGACATGCGTCAACCTTTTGGGATGATTGAGCAATTCTTGATTACAGTTGGTTTTGAAGATGAGTGTGAATCTTTGACATTGGTTGGTGTACAACCTCAAACGTTGTTGGAACTTGGGCTTGGTCATGACAGATGATGGTGGAGATGTTCTATGTGATCAAGAGGAGTTGCAGGGGACAAGTTTGCGACGCGAACTTCCTGCAAGCAAGCCCAGTACAAGTTTGCGACGCGAACTTCCCGCAAGCAAACCCAGTGATTTTCAAAATAAAAATGTCCTTCCTCCAGCAGGGTATGAGCAACAGCGTGAGGTTCCTGAAATGGAAGCAGGTGATGAAATCAAGCAACGCCAGATGTCGAGCTGTACATGGAAGATGAGTCACTTGTGATACATGATGACTTGACAATTACAGCTGCATCTTCAGTCAAGCTTTTGCGTGATGCCTGCAGATGGCTGGGAGTTTCTCAGTCTGGTTCAACGAGAATGTTTCACAGATGCAAGAAAGCCAAGGAAACAGCCTTGAGACGAAGCTTGGCGGAGTCAGCGCATGAGCAATACAAATCATGGCAGAAAGAGGCTGAATCAATTCCAGTACGAGTACAGCCTACCGACAGGGACAGATCCCTGCATGAGCTAACTCATGTGCCATTTCAACCTTGGTGCAAGAATTGCGTAATGAGCAAATCAGGTGCTAATCAGAATTCTCATTTCTCAGATCCTGCAGGTGAAACCCAAAGAGAACATCCAACTATTCAGTGTGATTTCTTTTTCATGGAACCTGGGAAAGAAGGTGCAGTGGTAGCGCTTCTCATGGTTGATGTTTGGTCGAGGTATGTGGCAGTTGCTCCTCTCAAGCAACGCAATGCACAAACAGTTGGTCGAGCTTTGGTGGCCTTCATTTTGAGCGTCAGGGATGGAACAGTGGAGTTGGCATTTGACAATGAACCTGTTTTGGTTGCAGGTGCCAATTTTTGCAAATCTGTGCGAGCCAAGAATGAGCTCACGACACATCTCTGTCCAAACAAGGTTGGTGACAAAGCTCGAACAAGCATATCCGAGAGGTCTGTTCAATCTGTCAGAGGGATTCAGAAAACCTTACTTTGTCACATAGAAGATGAACTGAAGGTTGCAATTCCAGATGGTCATCCAGTGATTCAATGGGCTGCAATGCATGCTGCATGGCTTTACAACCGGTATCAAGTTCATGCGACAATGAAGGTGACACCATTTCAATCTCTACGAGGCCGACCTTACCGTGGAAAATTAGCATCCTTTGGCCAGGCTGTCTTTGGTCTTGATCCCAAAGCAACAAAGTTCAAACCAGCATGGAGGAAAGGCTGTTGGCTGGGAAAAGATACATCAGGGATGGACCTCATTTGCACAGATGGCCAAACCATCATTCGAACAAAAGCGGTCAGGAAGATCAACAATCAACGGGATGCTGAACTCATCATTGGTATGACAGATGGACCGATGGACTTCTTTGGACATCGTCACATCGTCAGGTAAAGGCCAAGCAGAAGCTCATTGCACTTGCATCTCCAGCTCCTCAGATGACTGACGAAGAGGCAAAGGCAGTGAGAGATCAAACTCTGTCTGATGGCTATCCAGCTTCAGAACCATTGGATGATTCAGATCAAGCTCAACGACATGATCAAACTGAAGTTCAAGCATGGGAGGACGTTGGTTTGGAGCATGCTAATGAGATGGGAGAGCAACATGCAGATTTCACCACATCTACAGTGGTGATGAGGACATGGAAATTCCCTCTAGCTCTCTCACAAACATCCAGCTAATGTACCTCTACATGGTGAGCGTGCAAAATTTCAGAAGATGGATGATGATCCAGTGGTTGCTCCAAAGATCAAAGCTGCTAGAACAGATGGTGATGTGCATCAAGTGGCAGAAGATGAAGTTTGCCACAGCGACGAGCCTGAGGTGATGGTTGATGATTGGGAGGACAGTTTGCAATTTCCTGACTCAGAGGATGAATACATCTCAAATCAAGCTGAAGGAGAAGGACCCCACAGGTCAGCAGTGAAAAGCTCAGAGAACTTGATGAGCAGGCAAACCTGATGAGGAAGATCTATGTGAACGTTCATGTGGACGACATTCTTGTGGTGTGCAAGCCAGAAGAAGTGCAGTGGTTTCAAGATGCAGTTGGTTCAACAACTTTGACAATGAAGGTGGATGGACCTCATCTACCAGCTAGTGGAGAGCAGTTGATGTATTTGAAGAAGAGGATTACAATGCGAGAAGATGGAATCCTCATCCAACCAAATGCAACATGCGTTCCAAAGTTGGTAGCAATGATGAAGGTCAGTGGAAGGAGAAAGAAGGGATTGCCATATCATGCTACGCCGGAAACCTGCAACGCTGAGTTTGTGGTGGATTCTCAGATGTTGGATGGAGAACAGGCTGGACTGTTCAGATCTGGTTTGGGTCTGACTTTGTACATGGCGATGGACAGGCCAGACATCCAGTTTGTAGTGAAAGTCATATCATCCTACATGTCTCGTCCTAGCGTGAAGGCACTTTCGGCATTGAAACATTTGGCTTCATATCTTGAAGGAACCCCAGATGATGGCATTCTCCTACGTTCAACGGAAGAAGGCAAAATGGTCAGTGACTTTTGGAAAGAGGATGACTTCATCCAAGACGAAGTTACAATTCCAGATTGGACGGCAGATGGAAGATTCATTTTGGAGGCATTCAGCGATTCCTCATGGGCTGATTGCAAGGCAACTCGAAGGTCTACCAGTTCAGGGTTGATCTTTCTCAATGGATCATTACTCACAAGCATTTGCCGGACCCAAGCTTCAGTGGCACTTTCCAGTTGCGAGGCTGAGTTGTATGCTGCCAATGGTTTGATGGTGGAGAGTTTTTTCTTGTATCACTAGTGCAAATTTCTTGTTGGATATGAAACCGAAGGAAACAGTGACAAGGTACAATAGAGATTGTACATGGACTCAGCATCAGCATTGGCACTTATCCGACGGACTGGAACTGGACGTTTGAAGCACATTCAGTTCAAGCAATTCTTTCTTCAAAATTTGCTGCGTACGGGTGTGTTTTCCATTTTCGAAGTTCACACAAGATTGAACCCTGGTGACCTCAACACCAAACAACTTCGAGGTGAACGGAGACGATTTCTTGGAAGATTGATGGGACTTTTCAGTCCAAATGATGGGGAAAGAAATAATGACAACACAGTGAGAAGAATCCGCAGAATCAATCAATCGTGCAACAAGAGAGCAATGTGTTCGTTTGATCCAAATGGCAAATGTCACCCTTGGTATGTGTATGCAGTTGAAGGGTTGCAACAGTGAGGTATTTTCTCATCATGGTCCTGTGACAGGTGGAAGCGCAGATGATGGCAAGCTGCAGATGGTATGGTGGACCCTGGTGGAATGGTTGTCTACTCCAGCGCAATGTGCCTTTGGAGGGTTGATGATGGCCTACAAGGTACTCTCCGTGATGGCGCAGTTCATTGGATTTGCGATGATGTTTGCTGCAGTTGGTTTTGCTTGCGCTGGACCAATGGTGCGGAGTCACCATGGATGGCTTCAACAATTTGCCTTACGACATGCGACATGGCTGATAGAACTAAGGTCTCGAACATTGGTGAACCCGAGTCTTTGGGTTGCATGGTGGATCTTGAAGAAGGAAATAGCATATTTGCATGAGCGCTACCGTGAGTCTGAGCAGCGTGGTAACTTCATGGTGGACGTGGAGAACGTATATGGTTGCTTGGATGAGAACTTGACTGATGGAAACTTTCCAGTTGGAGCAGGTGTCTTGGACTCACCAGATCCAAGACAGGATCATGGACCTCCAGAAGCTCCAGACGAAGAACCTTTCCAAGGAGTTGACCTGGCTGAAGCTGCTTCGAACCATGTCTACCAGCTCAATGGTCGTAACATTGACCAAACAGTTGGTGAGACAGAAGCAGATGATAAAGCCAATACAACCCGTGGAGTTCATGGAACTCATGTAGAAGATAAGATGGAAGTGGATGAAGCTCCTGCTGAAAGGAGGGCACGATATATGTCCTCCAGCCAGGAGGAAGTATGAGACCCAGAAGAATGGGCAGAGACTCACTATGGAAACCTTGATGTGAACAACTACGAGCGTATGGTGGCATTCTCCGGAGCCAATCAGCTTCGACTATGGAGTGCGCTGGAATTTTTGAGGATGAGGCGCAATATAGCAGAAGTGGATGGCAACTGGGAGGAGGCTAGCAACTACTCCCGTGCGATGGCCGAAATCGAAACTCTCATTGACATTGCCTAGGTGCTGTGGTGATGCTGGGCAAAGTGGTGCGCAATGAATGCATGAGACAAATCGGAGCACCATATACTCCAGCTGATCGAAGCGGACATACTGAGAGTGGCTGAGGTTCAACCAAGCCGGAACTCGAACCTTAATTAAGGCACAGATGGCTTTGTAGTGAGCCAAAATTGAATTTATGTGGTGCTACACCACGAAGCTGGCATAGCACCAAGGTGGGGTGTGAAACTTGAGTTACTCCACTCATGCACATGTACAGGCATGTAGGTTCCAGGTAGTTGAAACGAAACAGAGAAGATTAGCATGGCTAGCTGTCTGCATGATGACACGCACAAATTCAGTGTACTCGTTGCCTACAGTTACAGTGGCTCAGATATGCTCAGAGAAAGCAGGTGGAAAAGTGAGGGTTTGACCGACCTGCCAATTTATTAGAAAAACACTTTTGGCATCATTTGGGGAGAAAGGGCAATTTTCTTTACAACGTCATGGAAACACAATTTTCTAAGTTATTTCAGAGTGATAATTTGAACAATTATTGGAGGCAAATGCCCAGTTGAATTTTGATTTCAAACTCGCATAGAGGGCATCAATTTTGTTGCAAAATTAAAATCTCAGATGTGATCTGCCGCGGCTCATCGCAGCGGAGGGGACACGTTACGGCCCGGCGCCGGGGCCATGAGTTCCGCCATGAAATATGGCCTCGTTGGCGACAGTTCATTGTACACCAAGCGGAACAATAAAAAGAAGCATCTTGGACTTTGTGGAACAAAAATCCAAGTATGGAATTGGATATTGGCAAAAAAAAATGGATTTGTACCATTACCAAAACTATTGAGGGACGAATGGCACCAAAGTATTAAGGCCATTGTACAGGTTTTGCAAGTGTCAACGTGTTTGGCCACGTTGTTTTTTGCGTGGGCAATGTCTGTCAGATCTTTTTACGTATACTATATATATATGTCGCAGCGGCGGTTGTCCTCTGTTTCATGTTTTGATTTGTCATAATTTGTCAAATCATTGGCCACGATCAAATCCTTTGGCACGTAAGGTGGTTGTCACCATGGCCCACGAAAAGGTATTTTTCTTAACATTGCCACATCTAACGTCGTAAATCCAATGCCATAAACCGTTCTGGTGATAAACCAATTGAGGACGTCTCAATCATTCTGATTGATTTTTGCATTCCAAAATGGAACTATGCCTGCCACAATGCCATTTTTCGATTTATTTGGTCAAAACATATTCCTCCATAATTATCCCATCATTGTCCCCCTTTTTTCACCATAGTTCTACCAGTGTGATTTCGTCCACCAACCACATCACTCGGAACTGAACTTTGGTGTTTTCGTCGTTCAACAAACCACTTGGAGGATCATCCCACTTAGGAGCTGGTAAGGAACCCTGGTCGGTAAGTCCATTTCATGTATAACTGGGTCAATTAAATAAATCGTTATATACGAATGTCACCCCCCCAATATTACCCATATATGTGGTTTCATCCTCCACTTTTTACCATCTTTTCCCGGGGTCCACCGCGGCCCGGGGTGATCCCGGTTACAGAGGTCCTATATCTCCACGGTCTTGCGTGACACGTATCGCTTCGCGAACCTCACCGAGCGGATCTTCCCTGGGGGCGGTGTGCGGGACCGACATGTTTGACGGCCTGAAAAGGAAACGGACATGTCGCCAACAGATTTATTAGACATATTGTTTATATTTAGTTTATAAATTGTTTATTTCTTTACTTCCAACCTTCCAACGTTCCAGTGTCGAAGAAATCACCATGGCATCACCATGGGGACGTGAACACACGTAGTTTTTTGAGAACTTTGGTAACGAACTACAGTGTTTCAGTGGTTTAGAACATTATGACATTGGTATCGACCCGAAGACAACTAACAGAAGACAAACCTAGTGTGTTGAAATAGTTGAGAACCGTGTAGGCCGTGTAGCTAACATAAGATGAGTAGACTCTTTCAGTAGTTGAGAATTTGGTATCTAGCACAGAATTAGTAGCACGTTTCAGTAGGGGAGAACATTTTGTAACTATAATAACACATACAAACAGAACATTCCAAGTGTTTGCGCACAGACGCCAACGTTGTTGCCCCCTGGAATACAGGGCAAAAAATTAACGCTTATGAAACACTGCTGCCAGTGGTTTTGTCGTGCAGACAAAAGCATCAATTCCAAGGGAGAACGACCAGCCGAGTGGTTTGGAATCCCTGGATGCTCTTAAATGGGGAAAAACCCATTTGCTGTTGAATCATCATGTTGCTTGTTGAAACGGCCATGAATTGGGGACAAACCATGATTCCAAACCAATTTTTTCAGAGACCTACAGAGAATTGCTGAGTTTGGCTGAGCAATGCTGAGTTGATAGTAAGGTATCACGGTATCACGGTATCACCAGTCAGCTGGGGATGAACAGTGACTGGGCCATGTTTCCCCGTTGTGTTCGATTTGCGGCCAAAATGATCACATTTCTTCCCACCAATACCAGAGCCTTGGTAGGTTTTTTCATGGTTTTCACAGGATTTTGCCGTGCAAAGTCAGTGTGCAGGACCTCATTAGCTACTTGAAAACTGGCCCAGCAACCTGGTCGAATCGCTGGCGGCCCTTGGCGCTCTCGGGATGTCATGAATTTGATGAATCAGTGGATGACCCATGGGCAAAAAACCAGCAGTTTTTCACACCTTTTATGAGGACCTTGGGACCTTGGTGCGTGGCCTAGGAGCTCGACGTATTGGGCGTGAGCTACTTTGGCAATGAGCATACCTTGAGGGCCATGGACGATTCTCAAGCTGCAGTTTGGGAAAACTGGCTTCCCAAGTCTTCCCAATGTGTTATGCTTGCAGAATACCTATTGGTTGAAGCATGCCATGCATATCTTCCTGGTTTGTTGTGATTTTTTTTTCAGGGGGCTTGGGGAATTGACGTGGGGATCTAGCCGAAGATTGCTGGCCCCAGACGCCAACTGGTTATTTCAGCCACAAATCATTCACTTTTTGTTCGGTACCAAAAAAAACTTGACTCAGGCCCAGATTATTCACGTGAGGCATCCCTTTTTCGTGAAAGGAAATCTCTGGCAGCTTTGTGATTTACATTTGGCTTCTGAAGAAAGAATCTCTGCGGAGCGTCTTCAATGTCTTCAATGGGCTGGCATCTGGAACATCACCACCACCAGACTGCCTGGACATGGGACCCAAGCCCATTTCCCAAAAAAACCTGTTGACTGGTGCCGCTTGGGGCAAGTGAGGCATCACAATCCATCTGTCAGTAATGTTGGTTGCGCCATTGCGCCTGCAATGGTGTTATCTTCTTCCAAATTCGCCCATCGTAATTCATGGATATTCATGGTACATAGCTACCAAGGGGGTTGTCTGTTGTCTCTCTTTTTACAGGAAGTTCAAGGGTTACACCCATCTGGAACAGAATGGGGGCCAGATGGTCCCTGAGTGTCGTGGGTCACCGGTTGTCTGAGGTGAAGATTCATGGAAAATACTGGCAGGATGTGTTTCGCTGGTGTGCCTGGGCAGTCAATGGTCATGATGGTCATGTTCGGCTTTATCCATCCAATGTTTTTCCTGCAGATTTTCACTCGCCAAATTTAATTTTGACATAATCAAGTGGCACATGGTTTAAAGTTCAAATGCCTACTTTTTCCCGGTGAAATCAGGTCAAGCTTGGGGAGGGTCATCCTGGCCGTCGTTGCTTGGGGCCCCCCATCTAAGGCCGAAAGGTCGCTGGCCGGGTCGTGTTTTTCATTGGCGGATATGCGGTAGCTCGGCTCAGGGGGTTTGGATACCTCAAAGCCATTTTAGCAGGGAAAAATGCTGATTAAATATCAAAATGCGGGGCATCTTATCTTCAGATACATTTGCAATATCCATAATTGGTTTTCTTCAGTAGCAACTATGAAGCTCCAAATAACAGTGACATCCGGAGCGTTATCAGAATATTCTTCTTGTCATTTCAGTGAGACCTCAGTGAGCCGATTCCAGAGGATTATACCAGCGCGCTGGGTAGAATCAAGTCATTAAAAGGAGGTTGGCCCCTAAAATCGCTGACTTGTGGAGCCTTCCTGTGTTTTTCCCATCTGATCCTCATCTCTACCAAATCTTGTATCAACGCTTTCCGTCGGTGTTTATTTTCTTCTATGATTGCATCAATTGATTCCTATAGTTGTTTTCGCATTTGTATCTTCATTGATTCATAGAACCCCCACAACAACTCCGGGCCTCCCAAGCCTTGGGGCTGTGACCCTTTGGTGTTTTTTTTGAGCCACCACCAAGCCATTGATTCTGAGGCCAAGTACACCTATGGCCGGGTCTACGATGAGAATCTGAACATCATCAAGCGCTGGATCAAGGATGCTGGCTTTCAAGTGGTGGAAGCACGCCAGGAGGCGGGCCAACGGCACGGTTTGGCAGGGAGGGCTGGGGAACCGTTGAGGGGAATGGCCGAATGGCACTTAAAAACCATCCAAAATGGGGATGTAATCATTGAAGATAGGAAAAAGGCTGGGATTTAGATTTAATATTCCATTAATATCCCATTAATAGTGGATACTATTTAATATGGTTTGTATAATCCACAAAAGCTAAGAGTTGTTCATAGTGGGTGGAACCATCGACCCATTACCAGCGAAAACAGAATGTTTTCGCCGGGATTCGAGAGGAGTTCTGATACATTGCCAGGTAGCGCTTTTTTTTTGCAGTGATTTTTGATGCCAGACTTGCCATTCTGTAATTCAAAAAAAGAGAGCTTTCAAGCGGGATTTGTTCCAACTTCCGATCTATCTTCGGATTTTGCTTTCCGATCTTTTTGGAGATTCCGGGAATCCTATATTATTCTGGTTGGTGGTTTGGAACATTTTGTATTTTTCCATATATTGGGAAATATTGGGAAAAAATCCCCAAGTGACTTTTAGATTTTTCGGAGGGGTTGAAACCACCAACCAGTTATAGAATAGCAAAAAAAAGGCTCTTGATATTTGTTTGATATTTGTGGAGACTTGGGGACTTAGGTAAGCCGATGGGAGCTTGCAGCCGACAAGCTGCATTTTTCTGTGGCCTCTTGGTCTGGTGGCGGCTTTGCCGGTGATCAGTATGTCAAAGTTCAAGGATTTCAAACCGTACTGAGAGCCATAAACAGGCAGCATCATAGCTTTCTGGGTTGCTTAACAATGTCGATGTGATGGTTGTGTTGGGACTCAAGGGCACCTTTGGAAGGTCAGTAGAAGCCCAGCATGTCCAAAGTCTCATGATCCTTTTCCCTTTCAAAAAAAACACATTTGCGAAGTTTTCAAATCTCCCACTAATGTGGGAAACCCAATAATCAACCTACCGTTTGGGGACGTTACTGCGCATTTATGGTGATATTATGCCTTATAATTGAGTTTACCACATTACTGCGAATGATTTCATTATTCTTGGGGTTTCAAGCCACCGCAAAAAACTGAGATGCTCCCTCCATGGGCATTGCACCCACATCCAGGAATGCCTTCCTGAGTTGGCGGTTCCCTGGCGGAGGTGATTTGTGATGATTTGTATAGTACATACACATTCGTACTCGTATATGATATATGTATATATTTAAATTTGTATCATATATATATATATATACATGTGTACAATATTATAAATGTCTACATCCTTTTTGGGAATACATGTGTACATATGATATGATATGATATGATATGATATATGATATATGATATATGATATATGCTATATGATATATGATATATGATATGATATGATATGATATGTATGCGTATATATATAATTCTATCTATCTATCTATATAATTCTGTATATATATATACATATTTGTATGCATGTATAATGTGTATATATATATATATATATATACACATTGCTAGGTTCCTGATTGGTACTTGGGAGCGTGGACACATGTTCCTTTTTTTGATAGGTGCTTTGCGTACCGAAAAGGTCCTGCTGATGGTGGTTCGGGATGTTTGTCCAATAGATCCCACCGTATTCTTCACGTTCATGATCTCTCCATAGCTGGTTCTATCCCTACAACGTCAGTTGCAACGCACTGCATCGCAACGCACTGCAGGTAGAAGCATTTTGTTTTTGGTCCTATCCCCATGTTCCTTCGCTAGAGGCTGTTTCCTATTCAAGTTCTAGCGAAATCTGATTGTTCCAACCATTTCTGGGGCTTGAATTCATCATTTTTTATGATTGCTTCAATTCTGATCTTTGCTGATTCATGCACATTTTAGTTGGTTACAATTGGTCAATGCTCTGATTTTTAATGGTTAAATCATGTTGAAGCTCATTTCAATGCCCAATTTTTGGTGGTTCAAATCACTGTTGAATTTTGTTTCAGTTGGTTTAGAAGGGCTTAAACTCCCATGGTTGTTGCTTAAATACCTATTTTTGGTTCAAAAAAACTCCTTTCCTTGTTCGGATCTGCATGATCATGTCGAGATGGCTTCGTCTCTAGGCCTTCTGGAGCCAGCTGCTGATGCCCCGCAAATTTGTCCGCCCGGGAAAGCGCAAGGAGCGCCTTGAGCGCCTTGGTCCAACCTGACTTTTTTCATGGGAAAATCATGGAACTTTGGAACTTCATCGTGATTTATATAGTGGGAGATTCAACGGGAAAGTCATGGTTTAACCAAGTCTACTTTAGAAAAAGACCAGTACGACCAGTGATAGTCATCAAGTCCTTGGGTCCTTGGGATGGTCATCAATCTATTTGGCCACCTACCATGGTCTCACCATGGCACACACTCTTGAGTCCCCAGAGAGAAACGTCCAGGATGTGAACTCAATGAATTCTTGAGTCAATGGGATGCATGGGATGCATCCATTAGCCCAAAATCCATTTTTTTGGTTTTTGACCGTTTTTGGGGTAACACACATGTTTTTTGGTGAGTTTGAATGGACATCCAACTGGGAGAAGTACCAAAAGTAAGACTTTAGTGACCCGGTCAACGACTATCGGTGGATCTTGGGGGTCGCAACAATCCAACCTGGAGCCATGTCCTGCTGCGATAGTGGCCCAGCCCTCAATGACAGGGCTTGGAGCATATCCCCCAAATTCTCAGGTGAAATCAGCCTCCGAACTAGTTCCTAGCTGCAAAAACAGGTCAAACACATGTATCTTTGATGACTTTGATGACTTTGATGGTGTGTTTTGTACGTTTTGTACGGCGCTCCCGTTAGACGAGTACCGCAAAAAGGACGGGTTTTTCAACGAGTTTCGAAACAGTCGAGGCCCGATGCGTCGCCGGAGATCCCACTGGTCAAGAAGGCTCGCAAGGAGCGTGCGGTCTTTCGCAGCACCATCGACCGAATCGACGGGAGGGGATCCAGATCAATTTACCCTCTGGTTATTTAACATAGCCATGGAAAATCCCCATTTTTAATAGGTAAACCATCTATAAATGGTGATTTTCCATGGCTATGTTAAATAATCAAATGGTATCATCGAAAACCACCAGTTGAGCCGCATAAATTGGATGTACATAACATAGCAGCCATTTTGAGCTGAATTGGATGTTACGAATTTCTTGGATGTAGACTGTACATAGCAGCCATGGATATAAGTCACTTTAAGTCGGCCTGGTTGATGGTCATTGCCCTTGTCTTGATGGATTGCTAGTTTGATGTTTTATCACGACCATTGAAGAAGTGGTGAGGACTCAGTGATTTTCAGAGTCAGCCAGTCAGCGTTTCTGAATCTCAGGGTTCCTGTCTGCATTTCTTCCCCAGCCCAATCATCGCCATGTACCCTATATACTCCGTACCCACTGTTGCTGAACCCCCGATCTGTCTACAAGATAGACCAAAAAAGAGAAGCCACGTATGGTATTGATTCGTTCGCCCTTCACCCCTCCATTCATATTAATGAAAATCATTGGAAAATTGACCCCCAGATTTTCTGCATTTCCAATATGTAATTGGTCAACTCTGTAGGGTGGTGCCATACATATGACCCCAGTGAACTGCTGTCCTATCATGAGCGATCGACCTATCGATTGGAAAGCAGCAAACTTGTTGAAACCCTCTGGGAAACTAACATGAGTATGGAAAATCACCATTTTATAGCTGTGTAAATCAAGGATTTCTATGGCCATTTTCCAGTTCGCAAACTGTAACAAATTACCAGAGGGTAATCCCATATCATTCCATTATTCACCATTGTTAGTTAACCCATTAGTATCCATGACAAATCACCATTTATAGTGGTTAAATCCCAGAGGGTTTTTCCATAAATCCACCAGAATTCCCCAAGTGTTTCCGCTTTTTCCAACTGTTTCCAGGATCCCCGCGACAAATGGCTCCTCCCTGCGTATCAAAAGAGCGTGCCGAGAACCCCCGCGCCGCGCCCGCCGAGCCCGGACTCGGATGGTGAAAGCAGTGCCTTGGAGGTGGCACAGTCCGAGATTATGGAAAAGGCCTAATTATCTATATCAGTTGTATGTACATGTATACATGTCCCTACTAGTCAGTTGACATGTCAAACATAAGTTTTGATTGTAATAACCCGGTCTGCGACTGTGCAGCTTTTGGGTCAAGTGTTGTATACATGATCATGTAGACATCTGTATATCTATGCTATATATAGATATATCTCTGTATAATATACACATGTGTATATATATATACATATATATATATATATACACGTATACCTACATACCTACATATCTACATTTCTACCTACCTATCTACCTACCTACCTATCTATCTGTCTGTCTGTCTGTCTATCTATCTATCTATATATATATATCTATATCTATCTATATCTATATCTATATCTATCTATATCTATATCTATCTATATCTATATCTATCTATATCATTATATCTATATCTATCTCTATATCTATCTCTATATCTATCTATATATCTATCTATATATCTATCTATATCTATCTATCTCTATCTATCTCTATCTATCTCTATCTATCTCTATCTATCTCTATCTATCTCTATCTATCTCTATCTATCTCTATCTATCTATGTATGTATCCATGTATCTATGTATCGATGTATCTATGTATCTATGTATCGATGTATCTATGTATCTATGTATCTTCTATATATCTGCTATATATTTGCTGTATATCTGCTGTATATCTGCTATATGTATATATATATATATTTAATATGTATATGCATGTATATATATATATGTTTAATCGATATATCTATATATCTATATATCTACATATCTATAGATCTATAGATCTATATATCTATATATCGATATGTTTACATGTTTATATATCTATGAATCAGTGTACCTATGTATCTAGTATCGATGTATTCATTCATTTGTATGTGTATATATATACATAACATATGGATCTATGTATATCTCTCTCTCTATATATATATATACATTACAACATAGCTAGCTTAGAGTATGTTACGTTGCATTATGTCACATTACATTACATACATACAATAGTGCCATCCAACAATCACAACGAACCAAATTGTACCAGACAATTTGCGAATGAACAGAACCTGGAAGGAAGGAAAGTCATGGGAACGACCAATCAGAGCGAGGAGTCTGCACACTGAAGCTGCAAATCATGGCAATCATGGCGATGAAATGCAGATGGCCACTGTTGAGCTTCAACCTTAGGTAATCCCATCATCAATAATAGCCACTATTCTCCATGATATTCCGGTTGCACTTAAATGATTCCACTAGATCATCCAAAATGTGTTCACCCTTCGCTTTTTTGCGGACGTCACCATTCGCATGGGATTATGATCATCAACCTCACTGAGGCGATGATTGGACAAAGGGCCAAGAAAGGGCGGCACGTTTGGAACGGGACAAGAAGAAATTGATGCTACGGTGGAAATCGGTGGAACACTGGAGATCATTTTGGTAAATGACCAGGCTTTTTTTTCGGGATATGAAGAGATCATTTTGGATAATCTTTTTTGTGTGCAAACTATGGGTGTGTAGAAAATTAGGTGTAGAATACCCCGAAAAATGGCGATTTAGGGAAACTTATGAAATAAACGATTGAGTTTTGGGGCACCCTCAGACAAACTCAGATTGGCCATCCCCCTCGAGAATGATGGGAAAGACAACATGCGGTAGTGGTTACCAACTGAGGTCAGCTGATAGGGTCCTAGTTTCCCCTCCCGCATGAGGAATGATGAGCTTGCCATGCGTCGCATGAAGATGTTGCCAGCAGCAATGGCATGGAGGGTGCGCCAGGATGACACCCTGACCTACCTGGGACTCAAACATGGTCACATTTTTAATCGGGGGATCCTTTGTTTTTTAACGGATATCAGTGGGATCCTGTACATTGTTATGTATCATGGCAATTACAAACTTCCAACTCCAAATGGAAATCGCACATCAAACATATTCATAGACATATATGGCAAGTGTAAATCTCACTTCTAACTGGGAAAATCCTTGAAAATCATCAATCGATACACCCATGGGATATACATTAATCACCACTAATCACCATTTAATCAATCGATACACATGGGATATAAATGGTCACCATCTAAATCACCATTTTATCACCCAGGAAGACTGATCGACTGATCCCCATGTCACAAGGCTGAAAGCCCGTGGTCTCCTTCCCCCTGAGCCAAATCAGTCGAAGCCGCGACGCA